AAAGGGGTGTCGAGGATCTTACTTATGAGAGGGCCAGGCTTGGGTTGGTTCCAGTCAGGTATCTCGGCCTAACGTTTAGCCTTTAACTTGTTTACTTCCTCAAGGAGCTATAGGACAAAGGGGTCTTGAGTGGAGTCATGTATCACTGGAATTTTCTTCCGTGAGTCTTCATCGCCTCTTGGAAGTAGGAAAGTTTGAGCAAGAGTGTGTGGTTTTTCCTTGGACTCGCCGTACTGACTTCTAAGGTGAGTTTTTCGGAATACATATGAGTCATTTGTACCTTCATGTTCCTCTGGGACCTGTCATTCCTTCCCTAAATTGGAAGCTGGCCTGGGTCGTGGGAGGGGACCGAGTCTTTCAGAAACCCTTGAGTCATTAATCTTCGAGCTTATGTAGAAGGGATTTTCTCAACATTACTTTAGGAAGTCTCGGTAGTCATGATAAACGGCTTTCGATTCTTATAACCCTTTTGCAAGGAGGTGTCTTCCTCCACTTCTCCTACTTCGGGTTGAAGCAGTTGGGTTAAGAGAAGTCTCATGTTGATCAATGTTTTGTTGATTAGCTCGTTCCTCATCAAGGATACTCATGTCGAAGGAAGGTGACCCTCTGTGTTGAGGGCACCCAGATGATGGTTGATGTCCACATGTGCAACAAGCTCACGTGTTTGAGTACGCCTAGTTTTGTGGAACGTCTCGAAGAGCTTCTCATATCGTTCTTGAATGATCTCATTCTTTATTGCTATCTTGTTGTTCTAAGCCTCCAACTCCTCGACTTTAGCTTGAAGAATGAGCTTCTTTCGTTCCTTTTTTCATTGCTTCGCACTAGGTGTGAGTGGGTGTCGTTCTACGTGCTATGGCTTCCTTCGCTCCCCATGTTGGATAGGGATGCCTGGTCAAAAGAGAGAGTAGGAATAAATACGTTTGCCACAGACGGCGCCTAATGTTGATGCACAAAATCAGTGAAGACTTTGGTACAACATAAAGTGTCAACTTTGTGACCTTCGCTAGATTGCTTCGGTCACTAATGTGGATAAGTATGAAAATGGATAGAGACAGCGAAACAAACACAAGATGTACGTGGTTCACCCAGATTGGCTACGTTCACGGAGTAGAGGAGTTCTCATTAATTGTGAAGGGTTTACACAAGTACATAGGCTCAAGCTTTCCTTTAGTGAGTACTAGTGAATGATTTAGTACAAATGACATTAGGAAATATTGTGGGAGAATAATCTCTTTTTATAGAAGAGAGTTTCTAGCAATGTTCTAACATTGACACGTGTTGTGTTGTGATTGGCTTCTGATGTTGACACATGTTGCACTATGATTGGCTTCTGATGTCGACACGTGTCGCTGTGATTGGCCTCCTGGTTGGAGGGAAACTCTTCTGGGTCCTTGACGGTATAACTTTGATCGGTGCTCGGTAGTTTCGGGATTGGTCAAGTATGGTACAAACAAACCTCTTTTAAGAAAACGAAGGAAGAAATAATAAAGCTTAAGCCAAGGAATATAACCATATTAAACTCAAAATATTTGACTTTCATGACACAAATTCAATCTCGTATAACCAGGCATAAACTTTATCCTAGAGGCTCATAGCGCTACAACCAATACATTTAGAAAACCAGGCGTCTTCTAAGTAAAGCAACATGTCCTCCTAATTCAACTAAATTTTCCAATGAACCAGAATCAATAACGAAGGTAATCAAGATGGTAAACCATGGACTATTGAATAAATTTTGAACACCCACTTTAAATGTGATAACCATGCACAACAATACATATAAAATAGGCTTTGAATAAAACTAAGGCATATAATTATATACCTCAATATCCTTAGGAACCAAGCTTCTCCCTCCAACGACTCAAATTCCTGAAATTCCATTAGTACTATATAAATGAAAACACAATTGAAATCCATCAAACAAAACAATCCCGCAATTTAAACGATTCAATCCTACTACAATTGAAAATCCCTAGAGAGGAACTTCAGCACAAATTTGCATATATATTGAAAAGGAAGTTCAATAAGTATTCAACATCTGGAACTTGACAGACATAAACCATCTAGTCTATTGTTCTTCCATAGGTACGCTAATTGAATTACATATACCTTTAAATAAGAATCAACATTTTCTATGCGAACTATTACCGAAGATTCATCGTAAGTTAGGTCTACTCAACTCAAATCTTTTTGTTTTTCGACAACTTCATAGGAACGAAATTATATATCTCACTTTCTCTCTCTCTCTCTTCAAAGAGAAATTCTCAACCAATACAAAGAACTCAGTAGGTGCTGATGAATGAAATAACTCAGAATTTTTTTTTACATTTGTATTATTTTCCCATTTTTCACATAGACAAATTAAACCAATATGCTTAAAAAAATTGATACATGTAAAGCCGGAGACTGCTTTCAACGCCTTTTGCTTTTCATTGTCATTACGTAAATCCAATTTCAGCACCATCTTCAGCAGAAAGAAAACAATTTTCAATTAACAAATTGTTTTGGAAGAGAATGGAAATCCATTAATTCAAATGCCAATACCGATTTCTGGGATTTTAGGGTTCTTTGTTACCCTTGCAACTGAAAGCCTAAAATCCCAAAAAAATGAGCAAGAAGGTTAAGCAGAAAAAATCATATTAATACTTCCAACTGGTCCTTCAGCTTCAGCCCATATTGGCTGTGGAGGTTTCAAACCAAACAGAGAACTTAGAAGTTGACTCCAAATGTCATGTTTAAGAAGAATATGCAGATACTGTTTAGCATGTCCAAATACTTGCTACCTAATACTCCTGTAAAATGTTCTAAAGAATCCAATTACAATAAACCCTATACACAAAAGCACCAAAAAACTACACCCACACTCAAAATCCGAACGCAGGAACAAAAATAAAAAGTTTACAGAAAACGGATGTACAAATGGAACATATAACTTTGTGATCCAGGTAAATGTTGTAAATTAGACTTCTAATTGCAATTTTCTTTCTTTATGAATTTTTAATTGTAAGTTTACCCTGTGGCTTTTGAAATTTTGGTTGAAATTGTGAATGTTGTTATGTTAATTAAATGTTGAATGGATTTTGTAAAAACAATTTATATATGTTTTCTAGAGACCCAGAATATACCAAATCTCTACCCACCAATAAAAACAGAGAAGACCATCACATAAGCAACAGAAGCCGAACATAAATCCCACATTTTACAACCAAATCATTACATCCTAAAACAAAAACCCAAAAGCATGTAACTTCGAAAGTTTGAAACATTAAACTCTAAGAACAAAAAAGAATAATAACGGTACCTTGAAATGAACCGTCAGGTCAAAACCTCTTGCTTTGCAAGCTGAAACAAATGAAAGAAATCAAAACCCACGAACCCACAATCAGATCAAAACAATTTTCCATGAAAACAAAACCAAGATTGGTATACAAAAACCCATTACATCTGTAAATTGATAAGAGGACATATGGTTTTCTCTGACCATCCCCACTCTTCCACTTGTGAAATCAATCACCCCTCCCCCTCCCCATCAAATTGTAATCTTTGATGGCAGAACTGTAATTAAATCATTGAGGGCCTGACTGAGGGCTGGGCTTCTTAGCGAAACCAACACAAAGCTCATGAAGAGAAGGGGGAGCCTAAACCCCAGCCTAACACAGATTGGGTGGCAGCATTGTGTAAATAAAACAAAATCAAAGGGCTAAAATTTGACTGTAGCTCAACTTTAGAATAGATAATATTAATAAATATATCAAGCATTATAAAGTTGCGGATTGATAACAACAGTGGTAGCATACCTCAAATTTGTCGATCCAAACCAATGGTTTGGCTTAGACCATCTCCAATCCTTGGGCTAAAAGCCAAATTTTTTAGCCCGGAAAATTTAGCTTTTAGCCCAGAAACATCTTTTCTGCTCCAACCCTTCTACCCTAAAATTTTAGCCCGGAATTATTAAAGAATGAAATTAGCCTAAATTTTTTTCTTAAATCAATTTAAAAAAAAAATATGTAGATTATTGTAAATTAATTTTATGAACATTTTAATCTAAAAAAATTTAAATTCTGATAAACATTTCGCATTTAGCCCGGGGGGAAAGCTGGGGGGTATTTGGCCCAGAAATAGCATTTGGCATTTAGCCTAAAATTTTAGCATGGGTTAGACCATCTCCAACCTTGGGCTAAAAGCCAAATTTCCCCCCAAATTACCCCCCCAAACACTCTCCAACCCATGCTAAAATTTTAGGCTGAATGCCAAATGCTATTTCTGGGCCAAATACCCCCCAGCTTTCCCCCCGGGCTAAATGCGAAATGTTTATCGGAATTTAAATTTTTTTAGATTAAAACGTTCATAAAATTAATTTACAATAATCTACATATTTATTTTTTTTTTAAAAATTGATTTAAGAAAAAAATTTAGGCTAATTTCATTCTTTAATAATTCCGGGCTAAAATTTTAGGGTAGAAGGGTTAGAGCAGAAAAGATGTTTCTGGGCTAAAAGCTAAATTTTCCGGGCTAAAAAATTTGGCTTTTAGCCCAAGGGTTGGAGATGGTCTTAGAGAGTGTTTGGGGGGGGGGTAATTTGGGGGGTAATTTGGCTTTTACCCCAGGGTTGGAGATGGTCTTAGTTTTGAATAAAAAGTTAAGCAATTACTTTTTAAGTTGTTAATTTTATAATACAAGTATCTCACCACTTATACAATGATACGTAGTATACTACCTTATGTTTCGAGTACACTGAAAATATCTCCTACTTATCCTAGAAAAATCACATGTCATTAAGTGTTAGGGGTTGACCAAAAAAAAAAGTGTTAGTAGTACTTTACTATAGGGCATAAAATAAAGCAAATGCACGTTGAACAAACGCTGTGCATCAACTTTATGGAATCTATCATTTTAACATGTCAATTGGTATCAAATTGATAAGAACATATACTTATTTACTTTATGATCCCTATAAATACGTACTTCATTTATTCAAGTTTCACATAAGCGTTTCTTTGAGTAGTGTTGAGGGCAAACTTATTAAGAGTCCCAGCACAACTGTTTGTGAGCCATCTGTCTCTCTCTCTAATCTCTAGTTGTCTTCTGCATTAACATATATGCTTTATACAGGGATCATCACATCATAACTGTTCATTGTACGTGCGGTCAGTTTCGTTAGGTATTATTTGTGTTTAATTTTAAATAAAAAAATTCAAATGATTTCTAACCACACGATATACAATGAATGATTAAAAGATGTGAAGATTCCTAGAATTTCCTCAATTTGAATCCGGATGGAATCCAAATCCTTTAAACATGGATTTCTTATTATTTGTAGCTTAATAGCTGGTTAGTTACATAAGCTCACACAAATGTTTTGAGATTTACGTCCTGCTTAATTGGAAATAATTTTCTTTGTCTAGGGTTCTGAAGATTGGTCCCATCTGAGTAATATATCTTTTATTATTTAAAGCTGATCAGCATAACAATTGTTAGAATAAGAAATGCTGAGGAGACTCTCTTATAAATATATGAACTTTCTGCTATTTCATCTTTGTGGCACAATACTAGTGCTAATATTATAAAACAATGTGCCAAAAAGATAAAGTGGCAGAGAGTCATTAAAAAGTCTTACTTTAAGAGAGTTTTCTTAGCATTTATTGCTTGTTGCAATTATCTATGATATGTTACAACAAAATTCTCTAACATGGTGCCTCCCATTTGATAAGTAGATGTTCATTTTGAATAATGATATGCAGTTAGGTATCAACCTTACGCACTTGATAAGATGGGAGGTGGAAAGGACGAGAAACATGAGACAACTGAGAAAGCACTATTTTCATATGGTAGTGGGTATGGATCATACCCTCCACAAGGATATGGATACCCCCCCGCAAGCACATCAAGCATACCCTTCTCCTGGCGGGTATCCTCCAGCTGCCTATCCTTCTTATGGGGGATATCCACCAACCTCCTATCCACCGGCTGGTTATTCAGGTACATCAGCGTCTTTATCATTCTGCATGCAATCGAATCCCATCACGGTCGTCCCTAATCATTTTTGTAACTTTACCAGTTTTCTGGGTTATAATTATTCTGAAGTATATACATGGGCACTACAAAATTATAGGGCCAATAATATTCATGGGTATATTAATCAAGACCAAATTCAAAATTTTATTGAAGGATGGCAATCTGATTTTCCCCCCCTTTTTTTTTTCAATGGAATCGATAGAGAAGAGATAATATAAAAGAAAATGCTATGGATATACAACATTTTTGTAAGACATGACAATAAATTAAACACGAAAAGGGAAAATATTATTGGCACTTCAAAATTCTCATTGTACATATTTCTCACATGTGTATTTTCTTTCTAAATAAAGAAAATTTGGAGTGCACAATGAGTATTTTAGATTGTCAATAACAATTACGTTTTGAAAATATATTTTCTCATTTCGCATCGACATCTATCAATTGATGTTCTTAATTTTCTTCCAGCTAGTGATCATCTTATATGAAGAACCAATTGGAATGACATTAAAGTAGAATATTATTTTCGTTTTCTTGGTGACCAATGAAAGATTATCACGTACAGGGCATGGAGCTCCTGGTATGGGAATGGGAGGAATGTTAGCTGGGGTTCCTGTCGCAGCTACTCCTGCGAATGGGGCTAACCATCTTGTGCATGGAGGTGGGGCCCACCATGGCTATGGTGCTTACCATGGCCATGGTGGTTCCCATGGCTTTGGGGTTGGCCACGGCTACGGTCATGGCAAATTTCAGCATGGGAAGTTTGGCAAGCCCTTTGGTGGCAAGTTCAACAAATGGCATTAAAACATATGATATGGTGGATCTAAGGCAAATATCATGGTCGTTTCATCAAGATCCAAATCTAGTCTAAAATAATCTTCTTACGAGTTACGCCCTTTGTAATAATTACTTTAAAAATAAATAAAGACGTATTTGTATTTTGTACTGTATTTCCATACAAAAAATAAATAATAACGTATTTATATTTTTGTATTTTTCTCTTTCCAAGAGCCCATAGACTATCGTTTAGGACTGGCTTAACCATTTTAGCTCATGAAACCAAAAATATTGGAATCGATTGAACTTAGACAAGGATATCTATAAATCAACGGTGACTGAGCTGACCAACTTTAATCTCCCCCCATAAGTTAAAACTTTTGCTTGACTTTTTGTTTAAGGGGCGGGCTAAAATCTCAGACCAGGCTTGCTTCACATATTAACCGTGTTGATTTGATCTCACATGCCCTCTATGCGTCATTCTTTCCGTGAAATAGTGGATCAGTTATTTCCCATCACTCAATTTAATTAGACTGTCCTTGGAGGCTTAAAACTGTCCTAAAAGATATCAAAGAGTTTAAATGTTAATTCTGTTTCAATTAGGGCCGTTTGATAAACATACTGCTTTCAGTTTTTTTTTTTTCGTTTTTTTTTATATTTGAAAGTTGAAATCTGAGAACCAAAAAGGGAGAACTAAATTTGGACACGGCCAAAACTCTGGTTGTACTTGGATTCGTGTCTCTTCCATTCTATTGGAAATTCTCTTCATCTTGAAACTGCTTGTATTGGTTGACCACATAGCTTTTTGCTATTCACACTTCAAAAATCTGTGCACTCCTAGTAAGTTTTTTTTTTTTTTTTTTTTTTTTTTTTTTTTTTTTTTCTAAATATAGAAAGTTTGAAGTGCTAATAGCACTACCCATAATTTATTCTCCTTTCAAAATCCATCTTTTTTCTCTGTTTTCATTTCAATTCACCTACAAGTGATAGATTGCTCTGGTGGTTAAAAGCTTAAAACCTTTCTTTTTAATCAACCGTGTCTCGAGTTCAAACTCTCCATTTCTTTTTTAGTGTACAATGTCACTTGTATAATTGGATATAACACGAATTTTTTATTCTCATATTTTGCCCAATTTGTTCGGGGAGTATAGTTGGTATGACTCGGCACTTTAGAATTAAACAACTGAAGTTTCTATTTAGGCCAACCATAAACTTAGGGTGGTGCTATCCACACGTCATTTTTTACCTTTTACACACCATTTTCAATTTCTGTCCGTCGAATAAAATGCATTGAAGAAAATTAAAGGATGGAAATTAACAACAAGCATGTGGGAAGTAAAATGAGTGTATAGATAACACTACCCTAAACTTATAACAGTCCGTGTGCATTCAGCTAGCTCTGAAATATTTCTTTTCTATGAAAATAATAATTATCTAATATTTTTATAATTTACTATAAAAATTTATGTCACGGTTTCAAAGGACCATTAGAAGTTTTTGTGGATAACATATAAAGTACAGGCGTTGATTTAACGCAGCGCAATATTAGTTCTTGACTTATTGGTAATTTGTTCCTTGTACTTGTATAGAGTTTTGATGGCTATTTCACATAGAAAGTGTACGAAAACAACTAGAGGAAGAAAAGAAGAATCAAAAAGCAATATGCCCATATTAGGGATAAATTAACTCTATCGCCCCAAATATTTGCATTGTGACCAAAATTGGATGGGAAATTTCCAAATCTAATGTCAGGGGGAGTTGATCTATTATAAAAGTCCAGGAAGGAAAGTAATCGACTAATTTAAAGTTTAGGAGAAAAATTAGTAACTCCTTACAAGTTCGGAGAGGGGGAATAGACAAGTACCTCTTACTTCTTATCTAGTATCCTAACTTTATGTATTTTATTATATATATATATATGGTGATAGATTCGTATCTCATTTTGCGCTTCTCACACGTTTATTTTTCTTTTTAAATATAAAAAGTTTGGAGTGTAAAAATGACAATATTGAAGTGCCAATAACAATTTCAAAAAAATGAAGGGATTTTACATGAAAAGAAAAATAGGTACATTTTATATTTTAAAAAACTTGGTAGATTTTACCTATATAAGATTGGTATATTTAAGAATGGGTGCATTTAAGAAATTAAAAAAAAATTATATGCTTGGTTACATTTATGATTCAAAACTCAAAAATATTTTATATTAAATTAATAAGTACAAACTGTAACATCCCACATCGCCCAAGGAGTGGATCCTGTAAGCCTTATATGTATATTCTCATCTCTTCTTAGCACAAGGCTTTTTGGGAGCTCACTGGCTTTGGGTTCCGTCGGAACTTCGAAGTTAAGCGAGAAAGGGACCAGAGCATTCATAGGATGGGTGACCCATTGGGAAGTTTTGCTCGTGTGAGTTCCCAGAAACAAAACTGTGAGGGCGTGGTCGGGGCCCAAAGCGGACAATATCGTGCTACGGTGAAGTTGAGCCGGGATGCCGTGGGGGCCTGGGCCGGAATTTGACACAAACTTCTTTTTTAATGTATTTTGGAAATGTTTTAAATTGAAAATTAATTAGCAGATTGTTGAAGGTGTGAGGATTAAAATTCTAAATCAACTATTAATTTTTATTTAAAAAAAACTATGTAATTGAGATGTAGTAAATTCATTAACACCTTAATATTAGGGACTTGCAAAATCTGAAAAACAATAAGATCTTAGTAAAAAAACGAACATTAGTAGTTAGAGACCAAATAATAATTTTTCCTAAAATAAAATATAAAGCATTAAGCTTGGGCTCCAAAGCCTAAACTGGTTTTAACTAAACCGCATAACAATGGTTTGTTTGGGTTGGGTTGTTTTCACCTGTATTTCAGTTAAAATCAAAGCGATTCAACCGGACTGTATCGCCCGTGCTTATACTAGAGAAATCACATTCAGTCCCCCCACTTATACTAGAGAAATCACATGTCATTATTGGTGGTCTTTTTTTTTTTACTTTTTTTTTTTGACGAAAAAAATAGTGGTCTTTTTACTATATAGGGCATAAAATAAAGCGCACACGTTGAAGTAATGCGGTGCATCAACTTTAAGGAATCTATCATTGTATTATATTCATTGGGACCAAATTCAAAAGAATATCTGCTTGTTTACTTTATGATCCCTATATATACGTACTTCATTTCTTCAAGTTTCACACAGGCGTTCGCTTGAGAAGTGTTGAGGGCAAACTTAAGTGTCCCAACGCAACTGTTTGTGAGCCATCTCTATCTCTGTAATCTCTAGTTATTGTCTTCTGTTTCTGCATTAACATATGTGCTTTATTTTTATTTTATTTTTTGGTCCAACAATATATATGCTTTATATATGAACATGGATTTCATATTTTTTGTAGCTTAATAGCCGGCGGTTAGTTACATAAGCTCGTGAGATATATAAGCTTGTAATAAATGCACCCAAATGTTTAGAGATTTACGTCCTGCTTAATTGGAAAGAATTTTCTTTGTCTAGGGTTTTGAAGATTGGTCCCCCAGCTGGGTAATATCTTTTATTATTTAAAGCTGAGCATATATAACAATATTATTGCAATCATGTATGCTGAATTAAGTAAAATCATGACTTAAGTAAATGGTCATTTTGAATAATGATATGCAGCTAGGTATCAATCTTACGTACTTGATAAGATGGGGAGGTGGAAAGGACGAGAAACATGAGACAACTGAGAAAGCACTATTTTCATATGGTGGTGTGTATGGATCATACCCTCCCCAAGGATATGGATATCCCCCGCAAGCACATCATGCATTCCCTTCTTCTGGCGGGTATCCTCCACCTGCCTATCCTTCTTATGTGGGATATCCACCAACCTCCTATCCACCAACTGGTTATCCAGGTAAATCAGCGTCTTATTTTTATGCTTATTGCAATCGAATGACATCACAATCGTCCCTAATCTATTTTGTAACTTTACCAGTTTCTGGTTTATAATTAGTCTGAATTGTATGCTTAGGTACTACAAAATTATAGGCCAATAATACTCATGGTTATATTAATCGAAAGACTAAATTATAATTTTATTGAAGGATGGCAATCCGATTTTTTTCCCCTTCTTTTCAATGGAAGATACAGAGAGGAGCAATTAAGGATAATAAATTTGTAAGTCAGCATGATGATAATTAGTTGCCAAATGATGAAACAGAAGAAAATACATAGATATATATAATTTTAAAAATGAAACTGTTATTGACACTCCAAAACTCTCATTATACACTTCACAAAAGTATATTTTTTTTTTTCTAAATATCATTAAATCTGGAGTGTACAATAAAATTTTTGGAATGTAAATCAATAACAATTTCCTTTTGAAAATAAATTTTCTCATTTTGCATTGAAATTTATCAATTGATGTTCTTAATTTTATTCCTGCTACTGATCATCACATATGAAGAACCAATTAAATTGACATTAAGTAGATTATTATTTTTGTTTTCTTGATGACTGATGAATGATTATTACGTACAGTGCATGGAGCTGCTGGCATGGGAATGGGAGGGATGTTATCTGGGGGTGCTGTCGCAGCTGTTCCTGCGTATGAGGCTGACCATCTTGTGTATGAGGGTGGGGGCAACCATAACTATGGCGCTTACCATGGATATGGTGGTTGCCGTGGCTATGGGGGTGCCCCCGGCTATATTGGCAAGCCCTTTGAGGGCTAATTCAACAAATGGAAGTAAAAATATGATATGGTAGATCTGCCGATCTAAGGCAAATTTCATGGTCCCTGGACCCTGCATCAAGATCCAATACTAGTCTAAGATAATCTACTTACGCCCTTTCTAATAATTACTCTAAAAATAAATACAGACTCATTTGTATTTTACATTGTATTTATATACATAAAAATAAATAAAGGGCGTATTTGTATATTGTATTTTTCTCTCTTCCAAGGGCCCCTATCTTAATATTTGCGACTTTAAATCTCGTTTACCTATGATTAGGGCTAGCCATTTTAGATAATGAAACCAAATTAACCGGTCTGGTCAGTTCAAACTAGTGTGTTTTTTTGAAAGAAAAATCATTATGTTGTCGAAAAATATTGAATCACTTTAACTCGAACAAGGATATTTGTAAATTAGTGACGACAGAGCTGACTAACTTTAACCTCTCCCCATAAGTTAAAATCTCGAGCTAGACTTGCTTCACATATTAACTATGTTGATTTGATCCCACACGCCCTCTGTGTGTCGCTCTTCCCCTGAAATAGTGAATCAATTATTTTAACACCTGCAGTCAATTTAATTAGACAGTCTTTGGAGGCATAACGAAAATATGCCTCTCCAAACTTAATTCAGTAGGCATAGGTCAATGAGGTAGTCACATGGTAGTTAGGCCCTTATAATTAGTTCACCAATTTACTCCTCAACCGTTAAGAGTCAAGCATCTCCAAGTTTTTCTACAAATTATTTCCCTCCCCAAACTTAAAAAAATAAAATAAAAAGTATTGAGTAATTATCTGGATTTTGGAATAACGTTGTTCATTGTTTTGGGTAATTACAAAAAGTAACCCGTCCAAGTACTCCCCACCATCTTCTTCCATCTCCATCATATGTCATCCCTCGTCTTCCATGATGGCAATTATCCATCCATTCTTTAAATAGATGCTTTATTTCACTTCAAAATTAAAGCATTATTTCAAAGACATGGAATCTATCCAGGATTTCTCCACCTGGGTTTAATTATCAAGTTATGCAATGATCTACCCATTCTTTAAGTAGGAGCAACACCAGCCATCAACAAGATTCTTGATGAGATCGAGATTGTCGGATGAGCTAGAATTGCGAAGTCACATTGCGTAAAGCTTCTCGGCTTCCGCTCTATTTGGATCCATGGTTCTCCAATGCTGACGAAGATGTTTGCTAGTTTTAGAATTAGGGAAAAGAAAATGCCAAAAATCGAAATGGGAAAATTGAAAATAGAAATGTTTCTTCATCATACCAAAGAGAGATCATCCCCGATTCGAGCGGTCCGCGGATGAGGAGGTGCAACTACTGGAGGATGATTGGATCAGAAAACGAAAATTTCTTCATGAAGCAATCACACTTGTTCGGATTTGAGCGAAGCTCGGCATCAGAGTATAGCGAACGATGGTGACGCTGCAACTATGCCCCAGATCAGACACTACATTGCAGTTTCTGTTGTAGCGTTGTAAATTCAGACTCTGCATTGTAGTTTCTGTTTTTTTATAGTCAAATTATTCACATTTAATATTAGATTTAATTAAGTCTTATATAAAGGAGTCAGACTCACTCATACTAAAGCCCCAATACTCGATACGACTAATTGGACTTCAATAAAATGAAATTGTATCGCAGCAGAGTCTGAATTCACAAAATTGTAAAACAAAAACTGCAATGATGTGTTTAATGTCAGGTTGACCTACTCCTAAATATAAAAAAATATAAGAAGAGGGCTGCCAACTCTAATGCCCGCTGTGATGTAATGGCATAATTGGTAATTTTGTTTGATTTAAGTGGAACAATATACATTAAAGTCTTATTGACATGTTTATAATTAACATAAATATTATTGACATATTCTCAACATATAACTTTTTCTTGTTTTTAAAGAAATCACCCTTTTAAAAAATTACGAACTGAGATATACTAAATCATTAACACATTAATATTAGGAACTTGCAAAATCTGAAAACCAATAATGTCTTAACCAAAAAATATTAGTAGCTAGAGACCAAATACTAAATTTTCCTAAAATAAAATGCTTTGATTAGGCTCCAAAGCCTCAACTGGTTTAATAAAACAGCATAACAATGGTTTGTTTGGGTGGGCTTCACCTGTAATTTTAATTAAAATCAATCCAATATGTTATACAATAATTAGTTTAGCTATATTTTGAGTGTCAGAGCGAATCAAACCAAACTGTATCGCCCCTACTTATACTGGAGAAATCACATGTCATCAAATGTTAGTGGTCCTTTACTGTATGGAATAAATAAAAAACACACGTTGAAGTAACGCAGTGCTATCATTATATCATATTCATTGGATTGGGATCATATTGACAAGAAATATATACTTGTTTATTTATCATTGTATCATTCATTGGGATCAAATTAACAAGAATATATACTTGTTTTTCGTTTCTTCAAGTTTCACACACACGTTTGTTTGAGCAGTGTTGAGGGCAAACTTAAGAGTCCCCACAAAGCTGTTTGTGAGCCATCTCCATCTCTCTAATCTCTAGTTCTTGTCTTCTGTTTCTGCATTAATAGATATGCTTTATTTTAATTTTTTTGGTCCAACAATGTGTATGCATGCTAACATGGATTTCTTATTATTTGTAGCTTAATAAGCTCGTGACATGTATAAACTGTTTTGAGATTTACGTCCTGCTTAATTGGAAAGGATTATCTTTGTCTAGGGTTCTGAAGAATGATCCCAGCTGGGTAATATATATCTTTTATTATTTAAATCCGATCAGCATAACAATTGTTTGTAATTATGTGTGATACGTTACGACAAAACTCTCTAACATGTTTTGTTCTTTGAACCATGAATTAAGTCGTGCCTCCCATTTGGATAATGATATGCAGCTAGGTGTCAATCTTACCTACTTGATAACATGGGAGGCGGAAAGCACGAGAACCATGAGACAACTAAGAAAGCACTATCAGAAGAGAAGGTTTTTGGAATAGTATTGTGTGTCTATTCATCCCTCAAGGAGGAATTTATAGGATGTTACAATCATATCAATAAGGAAAGAAATAATTACAGGAAATCATACTATGCTAAGAATCCCAAGATTACAGGAATATACACAAAAGTCAACGTCCCCCTCAAGTTGGTGCATACAAGTCACAAATGCCCAACTTGTGTAAGAAACTTGAAAACTTTTGACTTGAACAACAATAAGTGTAGTCAACTTTCCATTTTTTCTTTTCAAAAATAAAGTATGATCAGAATTACTTTGCTTGTAACCAAACGCTCTCATAGATTTTGTGAATCTTCCAAACCATGCTCGAGGGGACTACTTCAAACCATATAAGGATTTCTTCAACCTACAAACCTTTCTTTTGTATTTATCTGGAGCATTACATCTTGGTGGAAGATCCAACTAAATCTTTTATGTCAAATCTCCATGCAAGAAGGCATTCTTCACATCGAATTGTTGTAAGGGCCAATTAAGATTTGCAGCCAAAGATAACAAAACACGGATCGTGTTGATTTTGGCCACAGGAGCAAAAGTATCCATATAATCGATTCCATATTTTTTAATGTACCCTTTTGCTACCAGTCTCGCCTTGAAGCGATCCATCGTCTCATTGGCTTTATACTTCACAGTATAAACTAGGCCTGGCAATTCCTGACACGACCCGATAACCCGACACGACACGATACGAAATTAACATGTGTTCAGGTCGACACGATAACGAATCGGGTTTTATCGGGTAACCCGATAAGCACCTGTTAAGATAACGGGTTGGTTCAGATATACACGTGGGTAACACGATACACGATAAGCAAAATATTAATTTTATAATTTTATAACCCTAAAAAAATACTATAATAAATATATATATATATATATTAATTTAACAATTTTATACCCCTAATAACTATTTTATACCCTATAATACTATATATATATATAATATATATATATATTATATATATATATATATATATATATATATATATATATTAAATTAAATATTAAAAATTGGTGACCATTGGATCGGTTTAAATATACATACCATTCAATTTCTTAACTGTTATATGTACAAAATAAATAAATAAATTTAAATCTACTTAATAAATATATATATATATATATATATATATATATATATATATATATATATCATTGAACTTGATGGGATACGAATTCTACGAAACTAATTTCAACGATCCAACCGTCAACCTTGTTTGTATATGCTTCGAGATCGCATCAACAAAAAATTGCAAAAAACAAACATTCAGAGATCAAGTAACGGGACAAAACTTTTCGACAGTTATCAACGAAAAATCACGATTTAGCGGTTATTTTAACTCCGATTTTGATGATTTTTTACAGCTACACTCCTTGACCTAAATGAATACAATGAATGAATTCGATATTCAATTTAAAATATTCACACTAGTGGATACCACAAAATCTTATGTTATACTTAATGAAAGTATGAATAAATTCTTAAGTGTTAGTGAATATATTGTTTTGATAGGATACGCATTCTACGAAACTAGTTTCAACGATCCAACCGTCAAACATGTTTGTATATACTTCGAGATCGCATACGCCAAAAATTGCAAAAAACAAACATTTAGAGATCAAGTAACGGGATAAAACTTTTCGACGGTTATCAACTAAAAATCACGATTTAACGGTTATTTTAACTCCGATTTTGATGATTTTTTACAGTTACACTCCTTGACCCTATATGAATACAATGAATGAATTCGATCTTTAATTTAAAATATTGACACTAGTGGATGTGGATACCACAAAATCTTATGTTATATTTAATGAAAGTATAAATAAACTCTAAGTGTTAGTGAATCTATCGTTTTGATGAGATACGCATTCTACGAAACTAATTTCAAACTTGTTTGTGTATGCTTCAAGATCGCATGCACTAAAAATCGCAAAAAATAAACATTCAGAAGTAACAGGACAAAACTTTTCGACTATTATCAACAAAAAATCATGATTTAACGGTTATTTTAACTCCGATTTTGATGATTTTTTACAGCTACACTCCTTGACCCTATACGAATACAATGAATGAACTTGATCTTCAATTTAAAATATTTACACTAGTGGATACCACAAAATCTTATGTTATACTTAATGAAAGTATGAATAAACTCTTAAGTGTTAGTGAATCTATTGTTTTGATGGGAT